GAGAGACTCTAGAGGTGAGAATAGTAAGAATAATGTTGATCAAATGAACTGCTGTCAAAACTGCTTCCCCCTAAAATGAACCGGGAACATGTGCTGATAATAGAAGGGAATGTGTTGTCTCCAGAATATGATGGTGTTTTGGTTCGGCAACACCATTCTGCTCAGGTGTATCAGTGCAAGATAATTGATAAAGTGTACTATCAGATTTCATTAAATCATGAAAAGAAGTAAGAGTATATTCACCTCTCTAATCACATCGAAAATATTTAATGATTACAGAATATTGAGTGTGTACCATGTTATGAAAGGTAATGAAAATGAAAAATAATTCAGATCGACGTTTCATCAAGAATGCCCAACAGTACCTCATGTAATCATCAATAAATGAAATATAATATTTGGACTCTCTTTGTGTAGGAATAGGATTCAGTCCCCATATATCATAGTGAACATGATCAAATGGTGCAAGAGAACAAGTAATACTTTTATTGAACGACAATGCATTAAATTTAGCCAACTTGCATCCACCACAATAAAAAATGTCATGAATTTCTACACTACTCAAACTACCAATCGAAGCTAAAAATTTTAAACAAGAATAAAAAACATGACCAAGACGAGATTGCCATAAATAAAAACTAGATGACTTTGGAATCAAATAAAAAGAAGATAAATCAACAGTAGAAACAACATCATTAGTATCTGGGACATGAAGCTCCTCCAACACATATAACCTGCCCTTTCTATGGCCTATCCCAATCAGTTTCTTGGACCGTGGATCCTGCACAACACAACCAAAGGAAGAGAAATGAACCAAAAATTCAGAATAAAATAGTTGACTGACTGAAAGTAAATTCAAAGTTAGTTGAGGAATATAATAGACATCTGAAAATATAAGATTGAAATAAATAATTGTCCTAACACCAGCTAATGACATTTGAGAACCATTGGCAACAAGTACAGATAAAGATGAAGGAGAAACAATAGATGCAAATAAAGAAGAGTCACTGGTCATATGATGTGTGACACTTGAGTTAAAGACCCAGATGGTTCGAGATATACCTGAAGGACCTAAGCTGAATGAACCTATAATGGAAGAAACTGTGAGAGCACTAGACTGATGAAGAAAGAGAAACTTCTGTAGTTGATCTGTAAACATAGTCAGGTTGGGAGCTGATGAGGCTGACTTATCCACTGGTGGTGCTACGGCCACTATATGTCGATCTCTGGACTTAAATGACTGATTTTGAGACCCTCGTGCATTCTCGTTCATCAACTTTGGATATTGGGCCTTCTAGTGACCATTTCACGATAGAAACTACACTCATTAGAAACAACTCGGCCTCGATATTTGTTTTGGAAATTAGAATTAGAGGTAACTTTAAAAGGAACAACCAATACAGTCTGATTTGGCAGTGGAAGAAGACCCTTTCCAAAAAGGGTTTTATGGTGAACCTCTTCAGCTAAGAGCTCATTAACAACTGCATCCACTGAGGGGAGTCGGGTGACGATGAAGAATTGAACTACGAAGTCCCTTGAAGTCATCTCTAAGGGCCATCAAGAATTGCACCAGCCTCTGTTCCTTTTTGAAGGTGCGATATGTCAGAGTAGTGCTCAACTCAATGGGTTTAGTAAGTGCTAGCTGATCCTAGAAGTCAGTGATAACTGAGTAGAATTCTTGTATGTTTTTGTCCCCTTTACGCGCATCTCGAATCTCGTGCTCTAACTGATATCTCTTTGAAAAATTAGACTGGACAAAAAGTGTGGTCAAATAATACTAAATTTTCTTAGCTGTGCTAAACTTGGATAGATGAACCCCAATGGTCTGATCAACTGAGTTATTAATCCAGGTGATAATTTTCACATTGTTGATATCCCAAATACTCTTCAAATCAACATAATTTTCTACCTTAGTAGTAGTTGGAGCCTGTACAACACCACTAATATAATTCCACATGTCTTTCTCCAATAATTTTTCTTTCATAACATAAGCCCAATAAACATAAATTTCACCTATTAGTGTCACACTAATGGCTTGAAGTGAATTAGAGTTTCCACTTGTCATTGTAGTAACAATTATCAATAGACACCACAATCAAAGTCAAAACAATCAAAACCTAGTAGCCCCAAATAAAGCAATAACACCAAATAATAATCAACAATCAAAATCCAGCAGCCACCAAATAACAATCAACAACAAAAACCAACTACCGAAGCAATAACATTGCTGAAAGACTAGAATGCAGAAGCCACAAGTCCAGAATGCCGAAGCCACAACAAGAAGACCACCCACACCGCAGCCAAAGATCTGAAGATCAAAGCAACCCACAAAGCATAGCAATAAACCCACAGGGTAGCCACGACGTCAGGAACTAGTGTCGCCAGAACCACAACGACAGTTATACCGAAACCCTAGAATGGCCAAAATCAAGCCAAAAAAATGCTTCAAAAGCTTCGAGTCTCTCAAGAGGGGACCATGGAAGCTTAGTTGTACCTCTTAGTGAAGATTTGAACCAAAAATTGTAGCAAACAACTCAAGTTTTGACAGGTTGAAGAAATTTGAGAATTTGGGTCGAAAATATTCAAAAAATAGATACACATATGAGATGAGCTCAAAATCAAAAATGAACCATACTAGCAGAACATCCATGAAATTTCGAGTCTAGCAGTGGTCTTCATGGTCGAAAAAGAATGACATCATCGTGACGTCATTTCTGCCGATGCTGACGTCATGCTTCAGCAACCCAGAAAAAATTCCTTCATCTTTTTACTTTCTGTAATCTTAGGTCTTGAAATATAATTGCTCTGATACCATGATAAAATTGATCAATGAGAATAGAGAAGAGAAAGAGAGAATATATTATTCTAAAAGCAAGTCTGTAATACACATCTTAAACCTAGAAATACACAAAATAAGTCATATATAGTAGGGCAACACAACATAAAGAAAATGCCTAAACTATCCTTAGTATTAATACTCTAACAATTATATTATTCTTTCTTTGTATGTGGATGGCATTTTACTTGCCGGAAATAATATAAATAGAATCTTAGAACTAAAAGATTGGTTAAACATCAAGTTTGAAATGAAAGATATGGGTGAAACACATTATGTATTTGGAATTAAAATTTCTAGAGATGAAAATCCAAGAAAATTGAGTTTATCTCAAAAATCTTATTTGAAAAATATTTTAAAGAAATTTAAAATAGATTCTTGTAAACCTATTGAATCACCCATTTATAAAGGAGCAAAATTGTCTTAGAATATGACTCCTAAAACTGAAGAAGAAATACAAAAAATGAAATCAAAACCTTACGCGGAAGTTGTTGGTAGTCTTATGTATGCTATGTTGTGACTAGACTGGATCTTAGCTATGTTGTTGGTTTGATTAGTCGATATCAAAGTAATCCAGGTATACCTCGGTGGTTAGCTTTGAAACGTGTACTTAGATACATACAAGGCACGTTAGATTTTTCTTTAACATATCAAGCTAATGATATAAATGTTAATGGTTATTGTGATGCTGATTTTGCTTATGATATTGATAATAAAAAATCCACCACGGGTTATATACTTGTTTTTGGTGGTAGTGGTGCTATTTCGTGGTCTAGTAAAAAACAAGGTTGTATAGCTAAAAGTACTACGGAAACTGAATATGTTGCATGTAGTATAACTGTTTTTGAGGCCGTATGGTTGAAATGGTTTCTAAGTGATTTAAAGTTTACCTGTGTAAATAATATGTCTATTCATATTTTTTGTGATAATGAGGTTGCGATAAAAATCATTAAAAATGGAGAAATCGGACCCAAAGGTAAGCATATTGAGTTATTATATCACTATATAAGTGATATAATACAAAAAAGAACATGTTACTATTGATTATCTTTGTACAAAAAATATGGTTACAGACCCATTGACAACATCTATTGAAACCGAAGAATTTAAACGACATATCGTTGCTATGAGTTTAAGTGATGAATGAATATCTCGGGCTTGTAGCCAAGTGGGAGATGTTGGAATATGTAGCTAAAATCCTTCGATATTAATTAAGCACAGTTGGTGGTCAAATCCGGAATATATAAAACTCAAATCCGTTGGTCAAATATTGCATTATTCATGACATATATCATAGATGCATTTTTTTGTGAAATTATTATGTATCAAATATTATTTTATAATGATGTATGCATACATATGTATTACATTGATATAATTTGATGTTTGAGTCGGATATTTTCTAGTCAGTATGGGTGACTTGACTAGATGGACCCATCAAGTAGTGAAAAACTAGTCAATCCTACTTAGAGTATAATTAGCCTTCGTTGACTGCAGAGGATTGAGAAAATATTGATAGAGTTGCGAAAATATTGGGGAGTTGAGGATATTATGCAACGGCTAGTTAAACGATTGATATATCCTCCCTTATAAATAAGGTTCTCTGCATACAGAGAGAATATAGCAAGAAAACACCCAAATTTGTGAGAAAATTCATTGAGGGGAAATTCCAACTCTACTGCTTTCATATTAAAGAGAATTTTTAATTCTCAAAGGCTAGCTCCCCATTCATCAATTATATCAAGTTCTGTTCTGCAAATTTCCTACACTAAGTGAGGGTATTCATCCTCCCTATCTGAATTAGTCATTCTTAGATTTTATATTCTTACACCAGCTACTACAAATTGATTGCATGACAATTGTACAAGCATCAAATAATCCCCAATTTATATCACATAAAGGTTGGATGGTGGAATGAAATCAGCTATAGTAAATGGCATAGAGACTCTTAAAACCTCCCAAACTTCCCAGAAATCTCATTTGGTAGAGTTTAAAACCACATTCATTTAGAGAAACTGCTACTCAAAGACACTATAAATACATATATAGCTTCATAATAGCATTTTCCAAATTGCATGCATTGGAAAACCAAGCTAGTGCAAGAACTCAATTTTATTCCAGTCCAGTCGATTCTGAATTATTCAAATCATGTATACTCCTAGATTACATGCTTCTGTACTTATCTACAAAAGGAGGTACAATACATTATTTTGTTCTCATTACAAAATTTTTACATCCAAACTCTGCGTAAGACTACTATTTTGTTAGCTCTTCTTTGTGTGAAATCATGCACTTGTGCTGATTTGCAGCACTGTTAGGCTGCCCTGGTCTTGGTTAAGGAAAGAATGGTGGAAACCATCAACTTGCAGTCAATTGGCTTAGTTAGATAAGCATCCATACCCACCTCCAAGCATTTGGCCTCGTCTGATAACATTGCATGGGCAGTCAGTGCAACAATGGGGATGTGCAAACCCTTTCCCACTTCTGACTTTCTGATTGCTCTCGTTGCTTCATAACCATCCATCTTTGGCATCTGGTTCATTACAAAGACATCAAACTTTAGGACGGAGAAATCATAACTTAATATACAAGTTCATGTAAAAATTTTAGAATCATGGAATGTTAGTATCAGAAGAGGCACTCATAACCTCTGCTGGTTATGAATTTGGAAAAAGAAACAAAATTATTGCTCGTGCAGAGGTTATGATTTCCTCGTTCCCCAATTCCTTTAACTTAATGGTAAAAAACTTAAGAGAGAAACTATGCCTTTTCTTCAGATATCTTACTTGACAATCCATAAGGACCAAGTCGTACGCTGGAGAATTGCATCCTTGTGTCTGGGTGGTAATTGTGTCACCATCCTCCAGGGAATATCCCCTTTTACACTGATCTTCACTAAGCATCATTTTTAGAGCATCCACTGCTTGCAATCCATCTCCCACTGCCACGACTGTAGCCCCCATTTTTTCAAGCATTATGGTTGCAACTCTCTGAAGTACTTGTGTGTCTTCTGCCAGCAAAATGCGCAGCCCTTCAAGCGATTTCTGTCCATTCACAGCTTTGCTCGGAAGCAAACTAACTTGCTCTTTAGGAAAACTGCCAGCCAAATGTTGTTCCTGGCACCTAGAATTTTCATCTAAGGGGGATCTCATGTGTCCTATATCATCCGCTCTCGTGTCATTTTCTTTTGAATATGCTTGAGTTAACTCAATAAAGCAGTTGTTAACTGCACTGTATAGTGAGGGAGGGGGTTTAGTGAGATGTTCTCTCTGTTTTTCTTTAGTATGACAGGCAGTTATAAAATTAGAACTTCCTATTTCTGACTTATCAGAATCATCAGAGCTGGCTACATCAGAGTGACCAGGACCAGTTTCAACACATTCATGCAAACCAACTTCCACTATTGTAGAGCTTAAAGCATTAATTTTCTTTTGCAGGTCAAGATCTCTCTCCTTAATGGCAGCTTCCAGAATGTGAATCATTTTTGCTTTGTATAGTGGTCTGTTAACCATCAACAAATGTCCTTTGCTGCGGAGCTCCATCTTAATGGTATTGGAGGTGTCATGGTTTAATATCCACGCAAACTTTGCTCTCTCACAGTATTTGTCAAGGAAGTTGAGCTGTTCCTTCCATATTTCTGTTCTTAAATCAAGTAGCCCAATATCAGTAACTATAATGAGAACTGAGGTTCTCATATCCTGTACATTTAAATCTTCAGCTTCTGAATATTCACTTGGTGAACTTGGAGAATAAATTTCGGCTTGAAAGAGTTCCTGAAGAATCCGTGTCAGTTCATTCCACTCAGATGCTTCCCAGGTTTGAACTCCACTTTTTTGTAACCATCGGGACATGATCAACCTGATCATTCTGCCATTTAGTGCAAGCAATACCTGCATTCAGATTGCAAATATATTCCTCATTGATGTCCATATCTTGGGTAGATATGTCAAAATTAATCAAGATTGTTTCACCCAAACGAAGATGGATTTCAGTAGTGTTCAATATGAGGTCTATTTCTGTTTTTCGTCAGTGTTTTATGGCACAGAAAGGTGCTTACCTTCAAGTTATGTTCTGCAAAGTTTAGATGACAGTGCTGCCCTGGCACATCTACAGGTGTGCTTAGAAATAAGCATAGTTGCATTAGAGTCCCAGGTCCATCCTTTTTCACAATTTTGATTTCTCCACCCATCTTGTTGACCTGTCACCGCCCCTCCAATCATAAGAAATAATACATAGTTCCAGAATTTGAGACAAACGAGTAGTAGTGGTCTGGACTGACTTCCAATTTGCAAACTCATTGAATTCTAAATGCCAAAAGGACAAGAGTACGTGGTCTCTTTCTGCCATTCAAATTAAGCTCTGTTGCATTTATGTAAAGGCGATATGCATATTTGTGATAACACATTTATTTACATAAAGAAACTTTTTCACTCACCAAGGTTCGAACAATGCATAGGCCAAGACCGGTACCACCATGCCTGAAAATAACAAAAAAGGTTTAGAATTCTCTGCAACATATTGTTTGATAATTTCAAACAGTTGCATAACAGATACACACAATAACACCCTCATCTAACAGCACAATTGGTTGCATTGCATGTTCATTAATTCATCAGTCCAATTGACAAACACCTATCATTGAGGGAGAGAGAAGTTTGTATATATAGCTTACAATCGAGTTGTTGAAGGATCAGCTTGCTCAAAGCTTTCAAACACAGATTCCCATTTGGTTGGATCAATACCTACAGAAAAGAAATAAGTTAAAAAGAAAGATAAATTGAAGTGCTTGGAAACTAAATATGAAACAATACAGTAAGTTAAAATGTGTTTTTAACACTAAGGTTCATACCACAGCCTGTGTCATCAACTTCGAACCAAAGAACCATTTTGTTATCTTTCTTGCAAGATCTTTTTTCATGGCTTCCCTGTCGCTTCAATTTCATTTTGGGTGCAGACCTTGAGTCCTTGTGATTGATGGGAAACTTCCTGGTGTTGCTAGAATTATTTGGATTCTCACACCACCCTCGCAGAATAATGTAGCCCGCTGTAACCAATTTCAAAACTTTGATTACTGGAAGCTTACTACAACAATTTAAGGAAAGTTGCTTTTACCAAACTGTATGTTTGGTACAATGATTTTCATTGTAATATAGGTGGAGTTCTGATGGACATGCTTCCATCATTTTTGTCAATCAGATTTGATTAAGGAGATTTGTGATAAATGTATAGTTCAACTGTTTACATATAAGTGCACACACAAACTATATCATGTTCTCATAGACTTGAAGTTGTACATTATGGGATGAAACCTGTTTTGAGAGATTCTGAGGAAATGACCTATTAAGCCAGTTCACCTCCCGATGATAGATTTCTTTGACGGAAGTGCAATCTTACAAGCTGTTTACAGGCATAATATTTTAGATTCAATCATGCTTATTTATTTCATCTAACAACTGACTCCAAAAATTGGATTGAATAAAAATCGAGTTTTTCAACATGAAAAATGTTCAAAAACTCTATTATGGGAACCAAATATTAACTTTGTCAGAGGAATATAAGTAGGCTGAGGCCATAATAGAAGATATAAAGCATTTTAGCTCACGTGTTCTCTTGCTATACAAACAATGGACGTCCTTTGAACTTGGTAAATTTGTATTCTTTGACTTCCGTTCTTCCTATTTATAAAAGATAAATCTTTAGCCTCATTCATTATTGGAGCTGCAACCATGTAGACCTTGCAGATTTTTGCACTTACATGTTGTGAACTTGATAGAATTGCTGATTAGGTTTGCAAAAATTTGAAGCACTCTAGCGGAATCTCCTCGAACTACTTTTGGCATATCATCTACAAAAGAAATATTTGAGCAGTAAAAGGTTTTAGAAACCAACAAAAAGACTAGTGATCAAAGACTTCAATTCTTGTGCTTAGCTCTTTTTCAACTATATGAGTTGTGATGGGACTTGGGAGGGATACATATGATGAGGTTATGGTCATACCAGAGAGATCTAGGACAGTCTCCACATTGTGATTAATGCACTGAACAGAGTATACATCAACAAGTCCTTCAAGGTCTCGCCCCAAATCAAACTCGGTTTCTTCCAGCACCAGTTTTCCAGATTCAACCTGCATTAAATTTTCATATGACAAAATGTATACGATTTTTTTGTTGAGAATGGCAACACAAATTCAAAATACGGACATGAAGATTATTCCAAGAACTTGGTCAATCAGTTAGTTCTGGTTCTCAACGTTCTAAAATTCCATGATGCTCAGTATGAACGTCTAAAAAAGATAGAAGGTCTAATATGTCCCCAATGCCAAAATCATAAAAAAAATTTAATATGCCATTTGGAAAAGATTTCAATTTGTTCTATTTTATGTTTATGTTATAGTTTGTTTCTTTTAGTTTATAAAACTATGCATATAAGAGACTTATATCTCTCAATATTCTCTCACCTTACTGATATCCAAAATGTTGTTTAGAAGCCGGAGTAAAGCCATTGAACATTTACGAATCTGGGTAATTGTAGCATATTGCTCATTTGTGATACAATCATCACATATTAGAATGTCCAGCAATCCAATCACAGCTGCCATAGGTGTCCTCAATTCATGACTGCAGCAGAAGAAAGCAACAATCAATTTTACCAAGATACAACCAAGGTTTGTTTCTCTCTTTTTGATATAGTTCATTAGTGTTCTAAAGTCTTAATCCTTCTGGTTTGGTAAGAACCTGCTCCTTCCATCCCTTCAGAACTGTAGTAAATGTTTAAGGAAAAACTAACCAGGTATCAGGTATAGTGTATAAAGGATTACAAAATCTCACATGAACCATAAATTAATTGATTTAGGTCAACATGTAGCATATTAGGCAAGGGGAGCAAAGGAAAGCTGAACTCACCTAATAAACGCCCAAAAGGCATTCTATTGGACAAAGCCACCCACCATTCTCTCACTTCTGCCACACTCTGATATTCTTCTAGATCCGAAAAGTTTCTTTCACCACCACTGCCTTGTTTTTGATTTATTAGGGCATCTAATGGTTTATGTGTATTGCCATATATGATTTCTCATATTTTTTTCTTTAATTTTGAGTATATTTACTCAAGTTAGAGACTTCACATATCATGATGGAGTCAATGAATATAAACCTTCATCTAATATGTAAAGTACTATCTTTGGGTACAACCTTAAAGTCGAAGTTGGTACTCACCTCATGTTTGCTAAAAACTGGCTTTTGTAGTTGCTTGATGCCTCTGCCTTCCTTCTTGCATCTAAGTGAGTTATGAGCTCTGCTCTTAATTTCATTTCCTTTGACACACCATTTGTCAATATGAAAATGCAGATGCATCCAATAAATAGGATACATACAGAGGCAGATATCAAAATTAGTAATGTTTTGAAGGCTCTATCATCCACTTTCCCCATTATATATTTCCTTGGAATGATGATAACACCAACCTGCAAAATGTTGCTAAACGTGAGAAATTTAATGTAAATCACCAGGGCCCTAACATCTCTGATTGAAGTTCTTGCAACTGTAAGGCCTTGGATTTTAATGAAAGCAGAGAGGTATAATAGGGTCAGAACTTACCATAGGAAGTCTCTCTAAGTTCAGGAAAAATGAGTCAATATAATACAGCTGGTGCCCAAGCTTGGCATTCTCAATGTGAACCTCATTAGTTGAAGGAAATTTGTTGCCATATGCTCTATGCAACCACTCAGCTCCTGCTCGAATCACATGATCCTCAGAATCAACTGCCATCATTAGCTTTGGCCCCCTTGTTGAATTCATTAACAGAGGAGTATTTGATGAAGTAGCCAGCAACCAACCCTTTTGAGAGGTCAAGTAGATGTGTCCACTGTGGACTTCAACAAGTTCTTTCATTAACTGCCCCACACTATAAAGTGCGGTAGTAACACCAACAACAGCCACTATACTTTCATTGGAAGCATCCCAAACTGGCAATGCCGCAGAAAGTAATGGTGAATCTGTGTACTTGCTTACCGCTATATGCCATGAGGCAGCACCATCGGGTACTTGTGAAAGGCCTGCGATATTAATCAGATCATCTGGAGGGATTGGCCTTGATTTTCCCATCTTTTCACCAGTGACAGGATCAAGTGGTTCTCGGTACCATATCGCAGAGAAATTACTGCGTATTGATTGATCATTCCATCCTTGACGAGATGATAGCATGTTGATTTTGTCAGAACCACTAATCGAATAGTTTACTAGATCAGAGTATATGTAGAAGGTGTTGTTACTACTGTGATCTCTATGGAAAGCCTGGACAAAACCGTTTCTATAATTGATGGTTATTGAATTAAGAGCTCTACGACTTGCAAATAGTGCCCAAGTTACATCTTTCATTAGTTCATATAGCTGCAAAGGAGTCAAACATAAATTGTTACTGAACAAAAAATTTCTCGAGATAGTTCCTGACATAATTAACAGAATCTAACATCTAGAGAATAGAAAAGAATGGCTTAGAAACTACCTCGACTTGCTGTTCTTGATTAGCAGGCTTGCTGTACCGTCTGATTACATACTGCGACAGCTTAACCTGAGCTGTTGTTATTTCAACTGTGGAGTTCAAGATGTTCCACATTCGTAATAAGGGACGCTGTAGAAGTTCAGTACGAAGGCCAAATGCTAAAGTTTGTAGTGATCTTCTTGTATATACCCTTGTAAAATGCCATGTTAATAAGGTTAGCAGCCCAATTAAAATTGCCAGCATGACCTGCATAAAGCCATTGACATGAAGCATTATGTTAGTTTGCTAAGTGCAGAGTGCACACAGAATTAAGTTCTAATAGAGCTCAACCAGCTCTACGTCGAGTGCATTGAAGGCAAAGGAGACAAATAGCATCAGTAGAATCTCAAGTGGCTGCAAGGAGGCAATAATTATCACGCGATATTAATCAAATTCAGTGTTTCTCTTAACTCTTTCTGGGGTTTTCCTTTAAACAGATGAAGTGCATGGACACAACTGGCATTAGTCTCAAAATCTTCAACACACAGCCAACTGTGATTGTTCAGCACAAGACTTCTATCAATTTTGTTCAAATATTGAAGCAAAGGATCGCAAACTTTGAGCCTTAATAGCATGTAATTCATCTGTATCAATCTCATGTACCTAATTTACTAGAACCATACAAAGTGGCAGGCACAGTATCTGTTTGCATATACAAATTAACCAACTTTCAAACGAGTGCAGGGACAATTTACAAACCATGATGGCGAGGCGGACAACAAAGACACTGTAGTATGATGAGAGACAATGAGTGCTTGCAAACTGAAATTCTTCTTGTTCAACATCCCCATGGAAAGTTCTTCTGCTGCTAGGTGATTGGTTCCTTTTCCAAGAATTAGAAAACCCAGAAATTCTATTGAAGACCCTTTTCAGCAGTGATCCCATTGGTGTGGTTGGAAGTGGTGAAGATTCAGAGCCTAGAGAGGGGTTCCATATGCTTTCTTTGTAGCCAGAAGTTGAAGCAGAGAGAGACGGAGACACAGACACAGAGAGAGAGGCAGAAGGACTTCAGGGTTGGTGTTATATATTACTGCTCAGTAACTGTAAACTCAGAAAGCAGATATACTCTGTTCGAATTTTAGCAAATCCGTTGAGGCAGTGTATGAGGGATGTGACTTGCTTTTGAATGAACGACGAAAAAATTAGTTAAAATGCACATAAATTAGTGCGAACGTCCTAACTAATGTACCAAATATATATATATATATATATATATATATATATATATATATATATGTGTGTGTGTGTGTGAACTGTGGTGTGTATGTGTGTGGGTTGATTTTTGCACAATAATAGAAGTAAGAACAGATCTCAACCACGATGAACTGTGGTTCGACAAGACAGTAATTCCGACGGAATGGAAGATTTGTTTTCAGAATCTCTGATCGTCTCTGGTAGAGTTTCGACCCATCTAAAAGTGGATTTTAGCAACAAGAAGTAGGTTGAGAGGGACAAAGGGCCCTAAGGACTAGTGATGAATTATTTGTTGGGTCGCCTGATCGGTCCTGGAAGACCGTAGGGGATCCTGTAACACGGAAAAACAGGTTAGAAGGGTGCCGAAGTGCTCTTCGACGTATCTTTTCCGACAATCAAGTCAGATCTTTGAAAGAGGGGAAGAAAAAAACACTATGGTTCTTTTCAGAAGTTCTTGCGTACCTTTGCAATATGTTTTTGAAAACTATTTATACCTTTAAAAGTTCATCATTGCTGATAATATAGCTAGTAGACAATCATTAAAGATGAGATAGTGTGCCCCCTTTCCTTTAGTGGGGAATGCATTCAGCCTTAACTGCTCGGGACGCCGAGCAATTGATGCTTTTCCCTCGGCATGCCGAGTATTCAATGTGCTTCCCTCGGCGAGAGAGTATTAAATGCCTAGACATGTGAGCATTTAATATCTTTTACTTCTCGATCCCCATGCCTTAAATGATGTCTCATTAGGAAGGGGATACATTAAATGTCTGTTTGCTCAAGTCATGTGTCAGCAGGGGCATTCTAGTCCTTTTGTCTTTGATCTGACATCGCATGCCACGTGCCCATTCCTCTTTCTTGGTTGAATCTTCTACGTTCTTGTGCCTCCTGACACCATTGAATAGAACGTTGTTATGATGGCTAGCCTAGCCTAGCCTGACCTATACTAGTCACATGTTAATCACCAGCCTTTTAGGAGTTGAAAAGTCCACATTCCAATAGAGACACCTCGGCATTGAGGGGGCATACACACATCGGGACCGATATCATCAATCTGAGCCAAGGGATATATGTCATCCATGCCAACTCGGAGTCCCTCGGCCCCTCGGGGAATTATTCCTCTCGACGGGAGGGCTAAGGATGTCGATAACACGTGTCAGGACCATAGTAGAGATGTTTCATCAGTACCGAAGACACGTGTCATCCTTTGTTACATTCTGAAAATGTCCCATCAATATTTTACTGTTTAGTGTCACTTCTCACTTGTTGGAGGCACAATTGATTTTAACTTTCAAAAGTGGATATGTGTGTGGTGTTCTTTCTTCTCTTATTCCTCATCCACAAGTCTCTCTTTTTTCCGACTCCTTTTGACTAATTACTTTATCTTAATTTCATGTTAATAGAGAAGATGCTAAGAACTTTTATGGACCACTTATCCATCTCACTTTGCCATTAATGATCAGGGTGGGTGTTAGACGCATTTATCTCTAAATTAATAATTGTATGACCTTAATTCATCATGGATACTTGGTGGACGTAATTTTTCAATGTTTATCTATAACTAGCTAATCACGTCTATTTACAACTATTGTTCTAGTAGGATATATATTTTTTTATTTTTATCTTATAATCTAAGATTGCACTAGGACTAAAATAAATATTTAATTGTAAAAATTAAGGCTAATTATGGAAAACAACTAAACAATCTCTTTAAGAAGTATTCGCATTTATAGGATGAACTTTTAAATTGTCTGTCAAACAAGCCTCATTTTCATGTCTTTTTCACGTGGTTATTTTAGGCTCATACATGGAGCATTGAACAAATAAACATTCGTAAAATGGGTGAGATGTGACTCATATATTATCCAATACACAACAACCCGAAGTCAATTAATAATATATAAAAATCTTATTAATGGCATATATTAAACTTTGAGTGGCCCTATTTCTTCTTTTTTTTCTTTTTTCTTTTCGATGGGGTATATAAACTCTATTCTACCACAAGAACCTTCTTAGACCTCGGTATAATATAATCAACTAATATCATACAAACTAATAATTGGTCTTAATCGTTCAATGAAATAGACAAACTCTCTTCACAATAAGAAGCTTTTGTGGCCTTAGTGTCATGCAATCAACTACTAGGCAAGAAAAAGAGCATACTTTTTAAACTTGAAGTTCTTAAATTCGAGTTTCTTTTGTACTCTTAATCACTCTAATGAAAGAATATGTTGGGTTTTGGATAATTACATGATTTTTTTGTTGGGGAAAAGTATGCAAGGGGCCCGGATTAGTTCTAAATATATATAGACAATTGGGTTTTAGGGGCATATTTAACTTTAAGAGAGAAATTCTAAGTTGTATTGGGTCTGTATTTTTTTTTTTTTTGGCTATTTTTTTTAAGTTTAACGGTCAATGGTATTCAAACTAATTTACGTGTACCTCGACTAATTTTCTCCTTGATCCGGTCAGAGGCAGATCATCCACGCTGGGATTAAGGTATTTACAAGAGATAAAATTCTCACGACCTGCCCTTAAATAATTACCGAGATTTAAACTCAAAATGTCTAAATTTTTTTTTTTTTTGGGCATTATTGGGTCTGTTGATTCTGAACAAAAGTGACAAATCCACAACAAAAGTAGGAAACCTTATTATTCGGTTGAATTAGAAAAACCATGGATTACAAGATGATGATTCCCAAGTAAAGGCATGTGTTCTCCCCCTATGGACAGATGCCAAAGGGAAAGGCCATGTCCAGATTGTTTAAGAAAGATAACCCTATGATATATGACAATTTTGAGCAAAAACATGTTTCACAAATCAGAGACATTAGAGATAATATAATATATATTTTTCCTGGTGCAGAGTACAGGGGTATATATCACCATTAAATGGAATGTTACTTGTGTACAATGAACTTAAAAAAGAGGTCAAGAGAATCCCGAGAAAATGGTAGATTAGAACCAGCAAACAGCATATCTAAGAAATCAATTATTATCCTCTAGTCCACTACACTAATTCCAATTGATCAAGAATACTATTGGTATTACTGATGATGATATAGTTTGGAACCAGGAATGTAGCTAAAAATGTGGGTTTGAGGTAAAAAAAAAAAATGTTATAGGAACTTGAATAGATTATTTACTCTCATACGATTAAATTTATTTTAAGCGATGATTATTGTTCATATGTTCAAATAATTCATAGTGAGTCTAACTCGACCATTTGCGTCTCGCAGATGAACGTAAAATTATCTATCATTTATCTCTTTCAGACTTCACTAATTGTAAAAATTTAATGGAGTGATTCAATTTTACGCCACTTTATGAGTTTGTAACAGTATTGAGATAGATATACGAGTTTCGTTTCATGGGCAGCCTTCAAATCCAACTACTACTTCAATGGGATTGGTTTGATTGTGAACTTCAAATGCACACACATTAGGGAAATACAAGTAAATTAACTTTCATTTTCGAGGCACCTACTTGCTTCTTCTTTTTTCGCTCGATTTTGGATGATAAATTTTGGGGCCCAGAAAAAAAAAAGACAAATAATTCCACCTCTTTTCTTCTTCTTCTTCTTCAAAACTAAACATTATACTTTACTCATCCCTCTTATCTTTCACCCTTATATTGTTTTATTCTATTACTTTTCTATTGTATCAAACGAATCATAGAAAATGTGTCGGGATGAAAAGCAAGAAGATGATTAAGAGGATAACTCAGTGGTTAATAAAATTTGGAGTAAGTGGGGAGCTGACATCAAACTTTTTTTTCTCCCCTTAATATCTTTATAGCCTTGTGCAGAGGTGGCCATAGTTTACTGATAAACCAAAAGGCAGAGAGGCATAAGCGTGCACCAAATGCCTTGACCTTGTGTGTGTGTGTTTCATCCTCTATGACTATGATAACAACACTGGGTTAGTGACTCCACCTCACATCTCCATAATCAAAAGCCTTTCCATTCAATTGCTTGCGTCTTAGCATCCCACTAATACTACTGCTGATATCACTAAGGTAAAACCCGTACACGTATTGGTTCAGTGATGCAATAAGAAGAGGTGGGGGGTTTAAAGTTATAATTTTTTAAGTTCGAAGTATTCATAAAATCCGAGTTTAACAGATGTATCGAGTTAGGATTGATTATGGATCGTGGCTAGTTGGGTTCGTGTAACGTTTAATTCATATTTTGTTAAAATTTATTTAATTCATACCCAATTTATTTATGATTTCATATAGCTGAAATCTTGTCGTGTCGAGTTTGTCTTGATTTTAAGTCGTGGTTAGTGTCAAAATATTTATTTAACAAATTTAATAGATTCATTTGTTTATTACTTGATCCCACTAAAACTCATTAATTTTGTACTAAATTCGTATGACGTGTCTAAAATTTCAAATATGTAAGTGATAGGCAATGATTATGTCCACTTGAGATTTACGTTAGCCGGTGAATTAAAAAATGTGAATTCACATATTTGTGTTTCATGAAGAAAGAAAGAGAAATGCGAAGGTAAACCAACAAAAAATTGGTGGGAATCCCGGAGGATTCCATTCAAGTTGCTAATCATAAGGGAATAAGAAGCCAAGAAGGCTTGGAATTTGTCCTTCTATTGACTTGCATACACTTGCAACGAGTGGCACATTCTTTCTTTAAGTGCCATTTTTCATGGTTTTTTTGTTCCTATTCAGATACA